ACAAACAAAGTGCACGGGAAGACAAGGCACACGGATGGACAGCAAGGCAACAGTGTAGCGAAGCACAAGGGAACAACAACAACAACAACGACAACACAGCCAAACTACACAGCAGCACACCAGCTGCAACGAACGGCATGAGGAGCAAGCAGGATGGACAGCAAGGCAGCCATGGAGCATAGACAAAGCAGTCCACACATCCAACAGGGAGCAAAGCCATCCAAGACCTACTCACCCCACAAGAACAACCCCACGGACTGTTGGTCCCCACCACCCACCGAGCCAGGAAGCCACTCCAACAGACCCTACACACCATAGACATAATAGATAGAGCGGCCCCCCTAAGAGTCCTGCAGCCACTCCAAACAAGTGACCACCGACTGTTTTGCACTTCACTCAGACAGAATGCACAGAAGTAAGAAAAATTCCATGAAAAGGAAACATACATAATGCTTATTGTGCATGATGATGTGTGTAAGCACATATTAAGGACGCCTCAGCACATGATAAACGTGCACTCCACCTACCGTCATGACACAGAATACACTCCATCACTTTCCCTAAGGCCCTCGTACATTCACAGGCTAGATCCTCTATTCACCCAGGCATGTGATTTAAGCAGACAGTAGCTCGACAAAACAACAAGGCACAACCGACAGTGAAGCAAAAAACATGGGTTGGAGGGCATGAGGGAGGCGGGTGGGCAGACAGACAGCATGCCGCAGGGCAAACAGCACAAGGCAGCAAAGCATATAGGCTGGAGGGCATGGGGGAGGTGGGTGAGCAGGCAAACGGCACAAAGCAACAATGCACACTGGGTGAAAGGCATGGGGTAGGCGGATGGGCAAGCAAACAGCATAAGGCAGCGAGGGAAACAACAGCAAGACAAACGACGACAACGCAAAAGCAACACCCAAAAAAAAAAGACAAGTATAAACAATGCAAGGACTGAAAAAAATAAAAGCTGATGATAGATGGTTTTGTCGGAGTTGCACCGACTCGTCAGGAGGCTGAACCCTCGACAATCTGCGGAATGCCTGTATTGATGGTTTGGCTCATGAACCCTTTGACCCATGTTGAAGGCAGACTGTCCCCAAGCGGAACATCGCAGCGGGCAGCGACCCTGCGGAGCACCAGGCAACGCACCCAACGCCACTTAACTGCACAACGCCAAGAACGACTGCAAGGAACGACAGGGAAAGCGGACGAACAGCACAGCAACAGCGCAGAGAAGCACAAGGCAACACCAACACAGCAGCCACACTACACGGCACACAAGCAAGGCGGGGCAAGCAGATGGGCAGTAAGGCCGCAGTGCAGCAAAGCACAAGGCAACACCCACACGGCAGCCACAGTACTCAGCGAACACAGCAGCTAGTCAAGAACTACACACGAGGCAAGCGGCAAGGACAGCAAGGCAGCGGTGGAGCGCAGATGAGGCAGTCTACACATCCAACACGGAGCAAAGCAGCGCACAACCTACTCACATCACGGGTGAACTCTGCGGACTGTCAGTTCCCACCACCCACTGAGCCAGGGAGTCACTCCAACGGACGTCTGTCATCACCCACAGACCATATGCACCACACAGACATCACGAACAGAGCGGCTCCCCTAAGAGTGCTGTAGGCACTCCAAACAACGAACCACCGACTGTTTAGCACAACTTGAGGGTGGTCACTCAAACAATCAAAACGTACTTAGAAAAAATCGGAGGAAGGACAAGCAGGAAAAAGACATAAAACTGTGTGTGTGTGTGTGTGTGTGTGTGTGTGTGTGTGTGTGTGTTGTAAGTTTCCCCCACAACATCCCCAATTCCTCCCAGACAAGTAGACTCAAGTTGAGCCAGCCCAACAACTAAAGAATTCACCTCTTTAGCAAGTAACATGAATCATATTAATTGGACCACAATGATTTTGAATTGTGTTTAGTTGGGGTTTCTTTGGGGCAACAGCTCCTCTTTACGATATCTCACACGTACAAGGCTGCCCACGTCAATTGTGTGTGTGTGTGTGTGTGTGTGTGTGTTGTAGACTCTCGCCAGAGCAACCCCTTTTCCACCCAGACGTGCAGACCAAAATTTTAGAACAACCTTAACTTAGAGCCTTATATGAGATTCTTTTAAAACTTGATAAAAAGTGTGTTTGACTTGTTTTGATAAATGTAGGGATAACTTGCAAAATACCCTCATAAGTTAAGATATATGCCAAAATGGCCCTGAAAGATGTGGGTAGAGCGGAATGCCCTTTTGGGCCGAAATCTTTGTGTCGTGCCCCCGGGTGTGCAACTTTAGAATCTGGACCTCCCCGTCTGGGCCTTGGCGTTTTGCACTAGCACCTAGGAGAAGTTGGCAAGTACGGGGGCATTTTGTAAAGCTGGACAGTACCCGGTAGGGGTATATTGCAAAGATGGGGGTCCAACCGATGCCAGGGGTATTTCACCAAGAAAAAAAAATTGTCAGAGGCACATTCCGCTCTACCCACATTTTTTAGGGGCATTTTGGCATATATCTCAACTTATGCGCGTATGTTACAAAGTAACGTTTCGATTAAATTGTCGTTCAATTGTTCTCTTCCGAATGCCGACGCGACCACCATGTCCGTGTATTTAAGCGCGGGATGCATACACCCCCGTCTGTCCTTCATCACACCAGCACCTTATATTTTCTGTTCTCTTAGCGATGCTCATTCATATGCATGTAGCAGTTCACGAGGGGAGGGAGGACGGGAGGGAGGAGGGGAAGGGGAGCGAGAGGAGGAGAGGGAGTCAAGGAGAGGGGAAGGACGAGGAGAGTGAAGAGAGGTGTTCGGATAGTGAGCCCACATTGTTTGTTACCAAGAGTTCTCCACAAAAACCGCAAATTTTGGGCCCTCCGTTAACCGCGTGTCACCTACCAGATGGGAAAAGGCAGGCAGCACCTGCCAACTTTGGACCCACAGTGGTTCTTTTCTTTAACCGGCAAGGCAGCAGAGTGCAGTGGTTAAACTACATCTCCCCTCCCCCCTCCGGTTTATCACCGCCAATGCAAATGCCGCTTTGTTAACACCTACCCCAACAGACTGAAGCCCTGGAAGATGAATATCAGCCAGTGTCCGTGTCGATCCACCTCAAGAACCCGTTTTCCTCAAGTAGCTATGGCCACCAGCCAACAGGTAAGCTGTACCTTCTTCCCCCGAATAGAACGCCCGGTCATTATGCCTGCATCTAGACTGAAAGTTGCCCCACATACGACGGCTATAATGACCGGGCGTTCTATTCGGGTGAACGGTAGTACCTTTTCCTGCTCCGTTCTCACAAACCCATCCCTCTTCAATGGTGACAACTTATAACGGCCTCCGGCCTACGGCCTACACTTCTCTTCCTCCAGCCTACACTTCTCTTCCTCCAGCCTACACTTCTCTTCCTCTAGCCTAGCCTTCTTCCTCATATTAATACCAGACTTCTGTCAGTCGTCACCGTCAACAGGATGAACTTTCGATGAAGTGTGCCCCTCTACAACAAACCCTCTCTCTCTCTCTCCTCTCTCTCTCCTCTCTCTCTCTCCTCTCTCTCTCTCCTCTCTCTCCTCTCTCTCTCTCCTCTGTGTCTCTCTCTCTCTCTCTCTCTCTCTCTCTCTCTCTCTCT